CAACAAGTGAACCGTATATGTTGGCATTGACCTCCCCATCTCTAGGAAAATACAACCTTAGGGTCAACTAATGAAGAACTAGACCAATAAAGAGAGAGAGTCAAAGGAAGCAAGTCAACTATCTGCCCAACCAAAGTGGCAGAGTAGGAGAAAGAGAAGGAGATCAGAATCTCACGCTTACATGAGCCCCATCGAAGCAAAATCACAAACAATCCAAAGAAGATTCAACGATCATCTAGAGCATAGGTCTAAGATGACATGAAGAGAAGGGAAATCAATAATAACTAGAAAATCATAGGAAATACTAAAGAGCAATAATCAAAGAAAAGCAATAAGGGAGAGTAATCAAATATAGAGAAATCATCTGTCTGCCTGACTAGATCGAAATGGCGGAATAGAAGAAGAAGGAAATGTCTCACATTCACCTGACCAAATCGAAATAGTGAATAGAGAAAACTCGGTGCTCACCTGACCAGATCAAAACATTGAACAAGAGTAGAGAAAAAAAAGAGCCAATTGTCTGCCTGACTAGATCGAAACAACAGAACAGAAAGAGAAAGGAAGATCCCACATTCACCTGACCAGATCAAAATAGTGAATGGGAAAAGACTCAATGCTCACTTGACTAGATCGAAATGGTAAGCAAGAGTAGAGAAAGAAAAGAACAAACCGTCTGCTTGACCAGATCGAAATAGAATAATAGAAGGAGAAAGGAAGATCCCACATTCACCTGACCAGATCGAAACAGTGAATGGGAAAAGACTCAATGCTCACCTAACCAGATCGAAACATTAAGCAAGAGTAAAGAAAGAAAAGAAGCAACTATCTGCCTGACCAGATCGAAACAGCAGAACAAAAGAAGAAAGAAGGATCCCACATTCACCTGATCAGATCGAAACAATGAATAGGGAAAACTCTGCACTCATCTTGACCAAATCGAAACAATGAGTAGGAGTGAGAAAAAAAAAGAGCCAACTATATGCCTGACCAGATCGAAACAACAGAGCAGAAGGGAAAAGAAAGGTCTCACATTCACCTGACCAGATCGAAATAGTGAATGGAGAAAACTCAGTACTCACCTGACCAGATCAAAACAATGAGTAAGAGTAAAGAAAGGAGGGAGTTCTATATTTATCTGACCATATTCGCAACGGCAAATGAGAACAACTCAATATCCACCTGACCATATTCACAACAGTGAATAAAGAGCTTCCCAAAAGTCTAATGTCCGCCAGACCAGATCAAAACAGCATAACAAAAGATAAAGTCCAACATTCACCTGACCAGATCGAAATAGTGAATGAGGATGACTCGATGTTTGCCTGACCAGATTGAAATGGTAAAATAAAA